GTCTGCCCCTGGCCACTTTGTATCACCCTCTGCACCTCAGTTTTCTCAGCCAGGAAATGGGGCTAAGAATTATAACTGCCAAGTGGAACTGTGTGAGGATTCAAAGGAGCAGTGACTTTTCCCAGCACAAGCACCAGGTACACCAAGGGCCTGGCCAGCGTGCACACAGACCCAACATGTGGCCCAGGCCCAGGGGGTTGGGCCTTATCTATCTCAGGGTGGTGGGCTAAGAGTTCAGAGGGGAATGGGGTAGTTGGAGGTGAGTTTCTCCATACAGGTTTTTCAGGTTTCTCGTGGGCTTTCAAACCTGGAAAAGAATGCAGGGAGTAGGGTGGGGAACAATACAGGGTCTCTTGAAAGAAGGCAGGGGTAAGGGGTGAAAATCCGATTTTATCTCCTGTCAGGCAAGATCCTTGTGATGGCACAAGCAACTGAAGATAGTGATCGGAGAGCTGAGTGCTTGCAGTTAGAGTTCTTGGTTTTATTTATTTATTTATTTATTGACAAGCAGAGTGGACAGTGAGAGAGAGAGAGACAGAGAGAAAGGTCTTCCTTTGACGTTGGTTCACCCTCCAATGGCCGCCGCGGCCGGAGCACTGCAGCCGGCACACCGCGCTGATCCGATGGCAGGAGCCAGGTGCTTCTCCTGTCTCCCATGGGGTGCAGGGCCCAAGGACTTGGGCCATCCTCCACTGCACTCCCTGGTCACAGCAGAGAGCTGGCCTGGAAGAGGGGCAACCGGGACAGAATCCGGCGCCGCGACAGGGAGTAGAACCCGGTGTGCCGGCGCCGCAAGGCGGAGGATTAACCTATTGAGCCGCGGCGCCGGCCTCTTGGTTTTATTTTAACTGAGGTTGATTTTCTCATATTTTCTCTTTTTTTTTTGCCATAATGCTTTGTTTTTCTAAAGACATTTGTTTCAAGGGCAGACAAGATGTGGGTTGATGATGGATGGGGTCTCTTGGAGGGCATTTCTGGAAAACGAAGTGCGAGGCCTAACTTGGGACACATTTCCACGGACAATGCCTAGGCCGAGAAGGAGCAGCAGCCAGGCCGGGGAAGGCACAGGTTGCTGGCTGGAGTGGAAGCGAGAGGGCAGGGGTGCCAGCAAGGAGGTGCACTTAGCTCAGAGAATACGAATCCATGGCAGGGTTGGAGGGGTGGTGAAATCTAGAACACAGATGGGCCTTTGTCATCTGTGCAGGGGGTGGCTTGGCACAGAGCTAGCTCTCCTGTCCCAGTGGGAATTCCTGGGGCACCAGCCCCCTCCTCACTCTCTCTGTCTTCCTTAGCTCATCATTCTCTGTCTCAGCTGGCACTATTGTGTGTGTGTGTAGGTTGCTTGTATTTTCTGTAACGGCAACAATGAATGTGATTATTTTTAATTTCTGTTCTTCTCCTCTGTAATAGAGCTATTAGACTTTGGCAGGTCCCTTAATACGATGATCATTTTTGAATGATCTCAAATGGAAACGTTTGCACGAATGGTGGCGAGCGCAGTGGAGTTTGATAAAGGAGGCTGTAGGCTCACGTGCTCACATCTCATCGGCGCCAAAGTGCCATCGGCTGTGGCTCGCACGGCTGGGCAGGTGCTGGGGACTCCTTGGAGCCCATGTGGGGCCACACTGCCTCTGTTCCAAAGGGAAGCCACCTCCTGAGACCTCCTCCTGGGGACAGTTCTCACCTCTCCTTTCTTTTTTAATAAAGATGTATTTATTTGAAAGACAAAGTTACAGAGAGAGAAAGAGAGAGAGAGCTTCCATCTGCTAGTTCACTCCCTAAATGGCCACAACAGCTGAGGCTGGGCCAAGCTGAAGTCCTGAGCCAGGAACTCCAGCTGGGTCTCCCCTATGGGTGCAGGGACCCAAGCACTTGGGCCGTCTTCCACTGCCTTCCCAGGCGCATTAGCAGGGAGCAGCATTAGAAGCCAGGCAGCTGGGACTGGAACTGTCACTCTGATACGGGGCGCAGGTGTCACTGCACCTCCACGCCGGCCGGCCACAGTCTCTTCTCTCTTTTCCCCGGTCACTGTCAGGTTCTTCCTGGCACTGTGGAGCCTGACCTTTAGGGTCACAACAGCGATAATCATTCCTTCGACGTCTCTGATACCTGCAGAGCATCCGTACTCTTGGGCTTCTGACAGCCCATGCAGGATGCAGGCAGAGGCGTGGCTTGCCACCAGTGGCCTCTCGTGACCTCCTCGTGCCAGCTGCCAGTCCTGGCCTGGCTTTAATGAGGAAGTCCTCCGAAGGGGTCCTTGCAATTCTATGGTGAGCATTCCCAGGACTTCTGATATGGATGCTGGCTGGAGGTGCTATGCGGAGCTGTGCCTGGCAGGGCACAGATTGGGGGCGGAGGGCAAGTCAGCTGGTGAGGGCTTCTCTTCTCCCCACCCACAACTGGAAAACAGCACCCGGACACAACCGAGTTGTGTTAAAATCAGACCGCTTGACACGGAAAGATGTCATTTGAAGGGCACGTTGAGGGGGCCTGGGAAGGAGGGAGCAGCCTGTCTTCTCCCCTTGGCAGAGACAGGGAGCAGCTGGGGATCCTTGCCTCCCCTCCTCCCTTCCCTCCTCCCGGCCTCGTCCCTGTCTCACCCTCCCCTTCCTGTCTCTAGCTCTTCCTCCTCCTCTCCCTCCTCCAGCCCCAGCTGCCTCCCGCTGGGTCCCTGAGACATCATTCATTCATTTATTCAGCAGTATTTAGCGAGCGCCTGCTGCTCTGTGTCATGCAAGCCACCAGCTCCTGGGAATACAACAAGCAATTACAGGGATGACTTCTCTGCTCTCAAGGAAGGACTTGACGCAGCGAGCGAGAAGCCGCCCCAGGATGGTTCTGCTGGCACGAACTCCGATCCCCTGGGTCCCAGCTCTGTGCATCCAACACCCTGATCCTGAGTGGGAACCAGGAATCTGCATTTCCATTCTGGGGGGCAGAGCAGGGACAGAGAGAGAGAGAGAGAGAGAGAGAGGCAGAGAGACAGAGACCTCTTATCTCCTAGTTCATTCCCCAAATGCCCTCAATAGCCAGGCCTGGGTTAGGCCCAAGCCCCAAACTGGGAACTCACTCACATCTCCCATGTGGGTGACAGGGACTCAACTACTTGGGCCATCACCTGCTGCCTTCCCCTCCTTCCTCCCATGCACTCTTATCAGGGAGCTGGATTGCGGAGCAGAGTTGAACCCAGGTACTTGAATGTCCTAAGCGGTGTCTCACTGCTGTGCCATACTCCTGCCCTGGAATCTGCAGGATCTAAGGAGCTACCAGCATGATACTGATGCAAGTGGATGCTGGATCCGTCTCTGGGGAACCCTGGGAGTTTTTGGTGCTTGATATTCCCTGTTCTGCTTGCCTTGGAGGGATTAGAAAGCAGAGTCTGGGAACAGAGTCTTAATCACACATGCTTGTCACCATTGGATGTCTTCATGCCCCAGGCACAGGCTTTGTGGAGGGTGTTCTGCCTTAGCAGCATCTCTTGTTGTGCTTACAATTACTCTAAAAAGCAGAGTTAGCACCAGGCCCTCCCCCGCTGCCCAGTCCTCTCTCTCTCTCTCTCTCTCTCTCTCTCTCTCTCTGCAAACTCCACTGAACCCTGGAGTGTTGCTCTCTGCCCCAAGCAGGAGTATGACTAATGTGCTTCCGTAGCTTGGGCAGACGCTGGCTTAGCTCTCCAGGAATGAATCTTCCTGTCTTTGGCCCCTTCTGGCTGTGTGATGCAGCTCTGAAGTTACTCTGGAGCCCAAGTAGGAGGAGGGAACAGCGTATGTCATCGTCTCCAGCTCCCAGGACTCAAAACCAAATCTAACACCATCCAAGTCAACAAAGACTGACCCATCAAGATGCAAGCTCCCATCATGGGGCTCTGGGCTGTGCTGACATGAGGCACTGTGTGAAAAGTGCTTTGCTCAATAAATGATTATAATAACAACAACAACAATAATAATATTCTATTCACTCTTAGTCACTTGACTGAAGTATGTCTTGTATTCCTGTATCTTCTCCAGTACCAACAAAATTCATAGTAGCTACTGAGAAAATATTTGCTGAATTTTTCACAGTGATTCCTACACCTTAAAAATCTAGAAACAGGAAGAAGGGCACAGTAAATGGTTTGTTGATACTCCACTGTAGCGCGTGCTGTAATACAACAGGTAGTAAAGTCTCTCTAGCATCCAGCATGAGCGGTGCACGCTCCCATGTAGCAGCACACAGAATGACAATGAACTTGGTGGATTAATGCGGCATTTCCATCCATCCCTGCATATCCACCCACGTGTCATGTTGCTCCCCTTGGCTTTTGTCTCTGATTGTCATGGAGTCACCTTGTACCCTGAGCCGACCCAAGAAGAAGTCATTAAGGGTATCAGTTTACACAGAGGTAAAATACAGACTTGGCGTCTTCTCCTGTCTCCCGCCCAGCCCCACTCTCCATGGGTGGGGGTGGGGGGGTCTCTCTGCCATTTGGTAGTGAGTGATCCTTTTGCGGATCCTTTTGCCTCTGAGTCTCCCCGTGCAGTAGCAAAGCACCCTGATCCCCTTCTCCCTTCATCGTGTCAAGACTGAGCCTTTGTTTCTGTTGTTCCCCCTGCTGGCTTCCCTTCATGCTGAATCTCTTCTCTCTGGGGTATGCAACGGATGCATCTTATTTCCCACCTCTGCACTTCTTTGAGACTGCCGTGGACCCCTATCCTGTCCCTCAGCTGCCACCAGAGTGCGGTGAGGGTCAACTCCCACGTGTACAGACCCTAGCGACGCCTGAGACCAGTCCTCATCAGGCAGTCTACAAAGAGGCTCATCCCTTGGCATTTCTGGGACCCCAGTGGTTTTCTTTTTGCAGCTAAAAGGTAGCCTCCTAGAGAGGGGGCCGTGGGGCTGAGGGCCTGCAGGGAAGTAACCTGAGCTGCTAAAGCAGAATCCAGTGCCTGTGACCGTGGCGCCTGCAAAAGAGCTTCTGGGGTTTCAGGTACCACAGCTCAACTTCTTCCTCTCTCCCACAGGACACCTGCCATGATTGGCTGCTCGTTCGTGGTCAACAGGAAGTTCTTCGGGGAGATCGGTCTCCTGGATCCTGGGATGGATGTGTACGGAGGAGAGAACATTGAACTTGGCATCAAGGTGTGTGGCATGGCGGCCCTGCCTCTTGGCTTATTCGTGTTAGTGCACAGAGCTGCGTGGTCATCCGTAAGGTGTATTTAAGGCTTTTTAAAGCAGATGAGTGGCAGATTCCTCTGCTCCTCCACCAGTCCTGGGAGGGCGTCCCAGCAGGGCTGTCACTCATCCTATAAGGGGGAACCTGGGCCTTTTGCTCTGTGAAGACTGGCACTTGTGTTTCTCGCCTGGGTAGCCTACTCGGCACGTGAGCCGGAGAGCCCGGTTCCTACTCACATCCAGTTCTTGTTCTGGCCTTAAACTTTTCCTGAAGTAAGTGACCTCCTGAAATTAATATTTCTATCCTGCACATTTTAATGGTTCATCGACATCAGAGAATCCTGTGGAGCCAGACTTCGGGGGAAGTACCATGTTCCGGGGGTGGGGGGGCTCACCATTTTCCCATACATGCTTTGGGCAGGTGGTTGATGGGATGGGGGAGCCAGGGAGAGCAGAGGGGCTGATAGGGGGGCCCCCACCCAAGTCAGCTATGGATTCTGATTAAGATTTTTATTCCAAAAAAAAAAAAGTATTCCATTGTAAACAAACAAAAGTTGGAAACCACTGGTGCATTGCAACGTCTTCATCAGAGGGTGATCAGTGTTAACCCAGCAAAAGAGACAGAGGACTCCTTTACCACGTGGTGACACAGATTCTCTGCTAGACCACATTTTAGTGAGGGTCTCTTCCAGTCCGCTCATCGGCACTTTTCCTTAAGAGATCCAGTCTGTAAGAACCCAGCTAAGCCAGTTGAGCAAGGAACCACGCCCCCGTGATACCTCCTCATCTCCCTCTCCCAGGTAATATCTGGCCACCCGGGCCTGTCTTCAGCAAGAATCCCTAGAACCAGAGTCCTGGCCAGCGCCGCGGCTCACTAGGCTAATCCTCCACCTGCTGCGCCAGCACCCCGGGTTCTAGTCCCAGTCGGGGCGCCAGTTCTGTCCCGGTTGCTCCTCTTTCAATCTAGCTCTCTGCTGTGGCCCGGGAGGGCAGTGGAGGATGGCCCAAGTCCTTGGGCCCTGCACCCGCATGGGAGACCAGGAGGAAGCACCTGGCTTCTGGCTTTGGATCGGCGCAGCGCTGGCCGTAGCAGCCATTTGGGGGTTGAGTCAACGGAAGGAAGACCTTTCTCTCTGTCTGTCTGTCTCTCTCTCTGTCTAACTCTGCCTGTCAAAAAAAAAACAAAAAAAACAAAAAAAAAAACAGAGTCCTCCTTACCATTCATGCTTCCTCTTAGTCTTTCCATCTGCCACCCCCTACCCTGTTCCATGACTGCATTCCACTTGTCCATGCCTTATTCCAACTGTAATGCAGTCTGTCTCCTTCACTGTGAAACCCCGCCATAGCCATGATCCCTATACCTACTGCTGTAGTCTCAACACACCCGTCACGATGGCCCTGAGCGAAGTCTGCCTCTTTGTGCTTAACAAGTGTCAATGAAGTCTTTGCTGCAGCCCCGGTGACCACTTAGCAGTGAACTTGCTTCTCCTGTCTGGCGCATCTTCCATGCCTGTGAAGATGCTGGGAGGTGACCCGGCTGCATGCAATCTCTGGTCCAGGACTAGTGCATACTTGAGCCCCTGGGAAGCAGCCTTGTTGGAAACAGCTGGGGACAGAATGGACAGTAAGGGTTCAAGTTCAATGCTGTTCTATTGCAGTCTCATTTTTATTCTGCTCAGGCAGGTCCCCGGTATCAAACCCCTACTCCCTATGGATTGCATCTGCTGTGTCTAATTTACGTTTATCACTAACTTTCCAATACTTTTAAGGCACTTGTTTGGCCCGCATCTACTCTTTTTTTAAATTTTTTTTCTGTTTTGAAAAGATTTGTTATTTTATTTTATTTTTCCCCAGAAACCTTTTATGTAAGGTATACACACTTCATGCATTGCCCCTTCTACTCTTGATGTCTCTGTGGGAATGAAATGAATGTCCTGGCATTAGGGATCTCCCCTGGGTCCTAAAATCCCTCCCTCTCAGATTCCTGCTTTCCACAGTGGAAATCGCATAGGACTTCTCCCACAAGCTAAGCAATCGCAAAGCCTCAGACCTTAGCTGATGTGTTTGTCACCCGTGAGTTTTTAACTGAATTGAAGGGCTGGGCCTGTGGATCTGTGTCCTGCAAATATGTGCATTTCAGCCCCAATCCCATCTTCCCATTGCTCCTTGTGCTTTCCTCCTTGTTTTTTTTGTTTCCCCTTAGCACTCATCAGGTTTAATAGACCATAGAATTCATTTGGCTTGTGTGTGTGAGTGTGTGTGTGTGAGAATGTGAGTGTGTGTGTGTGCGTGTGTATGCACGCGTGAGTGTGTGAGTCTGTGTGTGTGTGTGTGGTGTGAGTGTGCGTGCATGTGTGTGAGTGTGTGTGCGTGTGTGTGTGAGAGTATGTGAGTGTGTGTGCGTATGTGAATGTGTGTGTGTATGTGAGTGTGTGTGAGTGTGTGTGTGCATGTGTGAGTGTGTCTGAGTATGTGTGAGTGTGTGTGTGTGCATTATTTTTCTTTCCTTTTCCCTCACTAGATCACAAGCTCTCTAGGACACAGATTTGTCTTTCATTCAGCTTTGCCTGCCAGCCGCGTGTGGTCCAGGGCTCAGTCGGAATTTATTAGGTGAGGGGTGGGTGTGGTGGCGCAGTAGGCTGATCCACTGCTTGGAGTCCAGCCCAGCCCCCTGCTAGTGATTTTCCGTCTACCATGCCCCACCCTGCTCCCTGACTGCAAATCCCACTTTCCTGTGTGCTGTTCAGGGTTGAGCTAACTCTTTGGAAGGCAGAAGAAGATGGCCTAATGACTGGGGTCCCTGCCACCCCTGTGAGAGATCCGGATTGAGCTCCAGGCTCCTGGCCGACCTGAGTGTGCAGACATTTGGGAGGTGAACCAGCAGATGGACAATCTCTCTCTCTCTCTCTCTCTCATCTTTCATATCAATAAATGTTCTTTTTTTAATAAAAAGAATTTGCTGGATGAAGGATTGAATAAGTGCACTGGAATACTAACATGAGTAGGGGCAGTGAAGTGGGGGACAAGTCAGATTGGGGTGGCTCAATGGCTTAATGAGAGGAGAAAATAATACAAAATCCACCTGATTTGTTCCAAGTGCTTACCTGAGAGAGGAAGGAGCTGAAGGGGGTCCTGCTTAGGGACTATGGAGCTTTTGTTGCTTTTAATGTTGTTTTTAAGACAAGAGGGGCCGGTGCCGCGGCTCACTAGGCTAATCCTCCACCTGTGGCGCCGGCACACCGGGTTCTAGTCCCAGTCGGGGTGCCGGATTCTGTCCCAGTTGCCCCTCTTCCAGGCCAGCTCTCTGCTGTGGCCAGGGAGTGCAGTGGAGGATGGCCCAAGTGCTTGGGCCCTGCACCCCATGGGAGACCAGGAGAAGCACCTGGCTCCTGCCATCGGATCAGTGCAGCGCGCCGGCCGCGGCGGCCATTGGAGGGTGAACCAACGGCAAAAGGAAGACCTTTCTCTCTGTCTCTCTCTCTCTCTCACTGTCCACTCTGCCTATAAAAAAAAAAAAAAAAAAAAAAAAAGACGAGGGATTTGAGCATCTCTATAGGGGGCGAGAAGGCAGGCACCCCTTCAGGGTGAGAGAGCACCCTGACAGGAGAGGGTGATGGAGCGGGCACTGTCCCTGTGGGGGGGGGGGGTAGTTGCAGGGTGGGGGAAAATTAGTGGGGGCCGGAGGGCGCCCCCCCAGGGTTTGTCCCTTGCCCAGTTGGGGCTTCTGGGGGACAACAAGAAAATGGGGAACACTAGAACTCCATCATTTCAGAACCCCCGGGGAAAAAAAAACTCATCCTCTCCCACACTTCCCAAAGGGCCTTTGCTTTCATGGTTTACTTGTTGATTTATTTTTATTTGTTTATTTGAGAGAGAGAGAGAGATATCTTTGCTCTGGTTCACACCACACTCCCCCTGCCCCAGTGCCCACAGTAGCAGAGGTGGACCAAGCTGAAGTCAGGAGCCAGAATCTGACTCTGGCCTGCCGTGTGGATGGCAGGGACCTATTGCCATTGAACTTCAGCTGCTGCTTCCCCACGAAAGCTGGAATCAGAAGAGGAGCCAGGATTGAAACCCAGGTGCCGTTCGTTATGGGATGCAAGCATCCCAAGAGGCCTCATCCACCCCATAAATGTGTATTTTAGCAGCTCTGCTAGCTATCCTGGACATAGACAAATTGCTTTTGTTTAAGGTGCACAACAGGATGCTTCGATAGACATTTATATGGTGCAATGGCCACCACCGCCATCGAGCTGAGTAACACATCCACCACCTTTAGATCATTACCATGGGGTGAGATGAGAAGGTTTCATTTAAGACCTGCCCTCTTGAGGCCAGCACTATGCCATAGCAGGTTAAGCTTCTGCCTGCAGTGCCAGCATCACATAGGAGTGCCGGTTCGAGTCCTGGCTGCTCCACTTCCAAGCCAGCTCTCTGCTATGGCCTGGGAAAGCAGTGGAAGATGGCCCAAGTCCTTGGGCTCCTGTACCTGCATGGGAGACCCGGAAGAAGCTCCTGGCTCCTGGCTTCAGATTGGCCCAGCTCCAGCCCTTGCAGCCATTTGGGAAGTGAATGAGCGGATGGAAGAGACTTCTTTCTCTGTCTCCACCTCCCCCCATAGCTCTGTCTCTCAAATAAATAAATCTTTTTTAAAAAAAATTGTCCTCTTAGCAGATTACAAATATATAACGTTGTGAACCTTCACTGCCATGCTACAAAGGAGAGCTCCTTTGCTTTGCAGGGACTTGGCCAGAAAGGTCAGAGCAAGGGACGCAACAGCTTGGTGGTGATGGTGGAAACTGCAGGCAAGACCACCCTGCAGGAGGGAGGGGTCCCTCGTTCTCATCCTGCAGCCAAGGCCCCTGGGCCACCAGCCAGAATCGCGCCCTGCGTCTGGGTTAATGGACGGGCTGAGTGCGAACAGCAGAGTGGACTCCACCTTCAGGCAATGGCTCCCTGACTGTCTT